AAACATCAGAAAGGGAGTAATTAGATTGTTGGAAAGGAATGCAGGACAGAATCTGGCTGGGATTTCCCACCGATTCATACGAGCTCTGAATAGAAAGAGTAGAGATACTGAGAGAAGAAATTAGAGGAAGTAGAAAATCTGATTATTCAGTAATTAAGAATTTTTACGTTTTTAAGACAAGTTTCTTCTGCTCACCATGGCTGCATTTATTTGATCAAAAATACAGTAAAATCAGTAATATTGTGAAATATTATTATTACAATTTAAGATAACTGTTTTCTATGTGAATATCTGTTCAAATGTAATTGATTGCTGTGATCAAAGCTGAATTTTCAGCATCATTACTCCAGTCTTCAGTGTCACATGATCCTTCAGAAATCATTCTAATATGCTGATTTGCTGCTCAAGAAACATTTCTGATTATTATCAATGTTGAAAACAGTTGTGCTGCTGAATATTTTTGTGGAAACCGTGATAAATTTATTTTTAGGATTCTTTGATGAATAGAAAGTTCAAAAGAACAGCGTTTACTTGAAACTGAATTTTTTTAAAAACATCTTCACAGTCACTTTTGATCATTTTAATGCATCACAGCTGAATAAAAGTATATATTTTTAAAGAAATAAATCTTTTTTTGGTAGTGTAAAACTTTTGAATGGTAGTGTCAATTAAAAGTGTAAGTCCATCAGGAAAAGTCATATTGATCTAAAATGACTGGATCTGACAAGGTTTTTGACATTTATGACATCAAAACTTAGAAAGAGGTAAAGAGTTTTATTTGAGGCACTTGGTAGTAAATAAATGAGTTACATTCAAGAACAAAAATCAATACTTTTGAATAAACAGAACGATCAGAAATTCTCCAACATTTCACACAAATTTCTCAGCTGTTGTATCAAGGTTTGCAGAAACTATGTGGTATCACGGGTTTCAGAAGAAGCCGAACCTAAACCAAGTCACTTCTTATATCTCTTCCTGTCTAAATGGGCCATTCTTGACCAGAACAAGCTACAAAGTAAACCAGCTATATGAGACCAGCAAGATCCAGACTGAAGGTTTTACGATGGTCTGGGCCCAATTTAGCATTCAGAATGTAACGGACACACCCCGAACCGGCTGAAAATCAATGAAAATATGTGATGATTCAAGTCGGTTGAGATGTTAATCGAATTACGATACAGTTGGGGTTTTATATAAGTGTATCTCTGAGGGGAACTGACTATCTTTAGGAAACTTTAGATGGTATTTTCTTTTCATTTGCCTCTGTATAATGCATATAAATGTAGCACCGCTGCTTTGTTTACAGCGGTAACCAAGAAAACGCTGTATTGTTGCTGCTCCATAAGTGCCTCCTGCTGTCAGAGAGTGAATCTGCGTCTCATTCAGAGCTTCTGCTGTTTCTGTTTCATGCAGATGTTTTACAAAGCTAAAATCAGACCATTCTGCTTCAAATTTCAAAATTATACAATCTAATCTGAATCAAAACTGCTCATGCTTCATGTATGCAGCATCTTTGTTTGGATCGTGATTCAAATGCAGTGGTTGCCACTCATTTTAAATTGAAAGAGCACAGGAAAAGCCTCAGTTTGTTTATATGAAGAGATTTCTTTCATTTGTGTCATTTATTTGATTTGGGATTTGTCTTAAAATTTCAGTTTAGTTTTGTTATTTGGCATATTTCAATTTCACAAAGAAATGTGCAGCATTTTATCTGAGAAATAATAAAAGGACATCTTTTCATTTATAATTTGTCTTAAATTTTGTTTAAAAAAAATCGTTAGAAAATCACATCGTGAAATCAGTATCGTCAATCGGGAGTACATTAAAAGCACAAATACTCTCCTCCAAGAGATCAGATCAGATCCCTTAAAAACCTTCATGAGATACCGTCAAGCCTTTCTGATGTAAAAGCCTTCACAAACAGCAGCTTGCGTACGGGGCAGTTAAAAGGTGGGATTTGAAATCACCAGTGCTCTTTTCTCTGCCTCGCTGCGCTGTGAGTGACAGAACAAAAGCTGGTGAAAGGAGTGAATTAGCGGTGGTGAATGGACGCGCAGCTGCTTCGCGGGGCACACGGGCCTTACGGCTCCGCTGCTGCATTGTGGGTAGAGACGAGGTGACATAAAAATACCATCTGTGAGGGAATAAGTCAGAGACTCTGATAAAATAAAACACACACACACACGCACACACGGACACAGTCAAAGAAAAGGCCGGCAGCAGGCACACTAATTTATAGGATGATGAATTTCAAATACTCCTCCTGCCACAAGCACAAGAGCGTCGCCATGGCAACCACAGACACATGTGATGTTTATAATGCAGAAGATGCCCTTTCATTCAGAAAAACAACCTTAATTAACAAGATACATTTAAACAACCACATGCTGGTTTGAGCTAGTCTCTCAACCTGACCAGCTGAAAAATGCATGAAACCCCTTTAAAACCAGCTCACAGACCCACCTGACTAGGCTGGTTCAGCTGAGATCAGTAAACCAGCTTAGGCTGGTCTATAATGTTTTCAGGAGGGGTCAAAATGAAAATCTATGTGATGCAAAGAAATATCACAAACCTGAATTAATTTATTTTCAAAGAATTACGTTTTACCGCATGTATAGAAAATTGGGATGTAAAAAGATATAATAATACAGGGCCAAATTATGTTGCAGGAACTTGTAATCAATTAAGAGGCAATTTGTCATCTTCGTCACAGTGTTGTTATTGTTAACTAAAACTACAACTATTAAAACTGTTTTTAAAAAATCATACTAAAATCAAGCTGAAATAAAGAGAAGAATTTTATTTCAGCATATCAAGTTGAATTAAAATAAAATATCAATATTAGATAAAATAATAAATAACTACTAATAAATAAACAAGTTAAATAAGTTTAAGTACTAAAATTATTAACTAAAATAAATTAAAGCTAAACAGAAATATTTTATTTTAATAAAAAATATTTTAATTGTATATTATAATATTTTAAAATATAAATATATAGATAAATATATATTATAATATTTTGAAATATTGTAAAAATCCAAACTAATAAGACAAAAGCACATAATAAACTTACTAAAACACTACATGGCCCTGTGTGAAGAAGTGTTTGCCCCCTAAACCTAATAACTGGTTGGGCCTCCCTTAGCAGCAACAACTGCAATCAAGCGTTTGCGATAACTTGCAATGAGTCTGTTACAGCGCTGTGGAGGAATTTTGGTCCACTCATCTATGCAGAATTGTTGTAATTCAGCCACATTGGAGGGTTTTCGAGCATGAACCGCCTTTTTAAGGTCATGCCACAGCATCTCAATAGGATTCAGGTCAGGACTTTGACTAGGCCACTCCAAAGTCTTCATTTTGTTCTTCTTCAGCCATTCAGAGGTGGACTTGCTGGTGTGTTTTGGATCATTGTCCTGCTGCAGAACCCAAGTTCGCTTCAGTCACGAACAGATGGCCGGACGTTCTCCTTAATAATTTTTTGGTAAACAGCAGAATTCATGGTTCCATTTATCACAGCAAGTCGTCTTCCAGGTCCTGAAGCAGCAAAACAACCCCAGACCATCACACTACCACCACCATATTGTACTGTTGGTATGATGTTCTTTTTCCGAAATGCAGTGTTACTTTTACGCCAGACATAATGGGACACACACCTTCCAAAAAGTTCAACTTATGTCTCGTCAGTCCACAGAGTATTTTCCCAAAAGACTTGGGGATCATCAAGATGTTTGGATCTCGGCATGATGTCTAGCTTTTGAGGATCTTTTGGTCTACTTCACTTTGTCAGGCAGGTCCTATTTAAGAGATTTCTTGATTGTGAACAGGTGTGGCAGTAATCAGGCCTGGGTGTGGCTAGAGAAATTGAACTCAGGTGTGTTTAACAGGGGGGCAAACACTTCTTCACACAGCGCCATATAGTTTTCGATTTTGTTTTCCCTTAATAATAAAAACCTTCATTTAAAAACTGCATGTTGTGTTTACTTGTGTTATCTTTGACTAATATTTGAATTTGTGCTTTGCCACAATTCTGTCTCTGAGCTCTTCAGGCAGTTCCTTTGACCTCATGATTCTCATTTGCTCTGACATGCACTGTGAGCTGTAAGGTCTTATATAGACAGGTGTGTGGCTTTCCTAATCAAGTCCAATCAGTATAATCAAACACAGCTGGACTCAAATGAAGGTGTAGAACCGTCTCAAGGATGATCAGAAGAAATGGACAGCACCTGAGTTAAATATATGAGTGTCACAGCAAAGGGTCTGAATACTTAGGACCATGTGATATTTCAGTTTTTCTTTTTTAATAAATCTGCAAAAATGTCAACAATTCTGTGTTTTTCTGTCAATATGGGGTGCTGTGTGTACATTAATGAGGAAAAAAAATTAACTTACATGATTTTAGTAAATGGCTGCAATATAACAAAGAGTGAAAAATTTAAGGGGGTCTGAATACTTTCCGTACCCACTGTATATATATAAATATTACAATATTAAAAATCAAAAGTTGCATGTTAATATTACTTAATGGACCTGAGCTAACATGAACTAACAATGAACAATGTTATATTTTTATCAAGTTAGATTAACAAACATATTGTTCATTGTTAATTAGTCATTTAATTGACAAATATTAACTAATGACTAACTTTTACTATAAAACTTAAACGTAAAAAAATATATATATATTGCCTTGGCAACTTGAAGTACTAAAATTACTACACTAACAACTAATAAAAATTACAAAAGCACATAACAAAATGACTAAGATTTAAACTAAAATTAAATATACTGAAAATATAAAAATAAATGCTAATATCAAATTATTATAATTGTACAAAAAATAACATAAAATACATAAAATATTATAAATGTACAAAAACATTACATAAAATACTAAAATAGGACGGACCAGAAAAAAAGCTGGGTTTATTAGACAGCATTATAGCTTCTCTTGTGTGTGTGAATATTTATTGCGTGTGAAACGTGTGTGAATGATTTACCTCCATTCGTCCTGTGGGCGTTTCTGCTCGTATTTCTCCCTCACGTGGGACACGCCCATATCTGGGTGGAGCCAGTGGATGTCGCCCGACGGTGCGTGAGTGAGACGCAGCCCAAAACAAGCCACGTGTTTGACCTTATGAATGTCCACGATCTTCTGAATGATTCCCTGCAGACACAAAACACACAATTCACGCTCATAAAAATCCCGTAATGCACGGCATACTGCGATACATAAACTGATTTATAGAACCGTAAAAATCCTGCGGCTGTTAATCAATGATTAGAGAGTGTAATGGATCCGACCTGGATCCTGCCGTGTAAATCCACCTCAACTTCATGAGACTAAATATTCCCGTCACACACTGTGACTGCAGTGCTGCATTTACAGCATATGCTGAGCCAGACAGTCACTAAACTGTTCAAATGTTTGGAGTTGTTACTTTTATTCAGCCAAGACGCATCAAATTGATCAAAAGTGAAACAAATTGAAACAAAAGTGTCTTTTGAACTTTCTGTTCATCACAGAATGCTGAAGAATAAATTGTATCAGGGTTTCCACAAAAATATGAAGCAGCACAACTGTTTTCAACACTGATAATAATCAGAAATATTTGTTGAGCAGCAAATCAGAAATGATTTCTGAAGGATCATGTGACACTGAAGACTGGAGTAATGATCACTGCTGCTGAGATGATGCTCTCAGAATCTAATAAAAAGGATGTGAAAGTGATGCGGTTGTCACGGAAGCTAGGTGGTTGCCATGGCACCGCCGTGGCCCTCATGGATTGGATTACGGACACGGGCAGAGCTGCCAACGGCTCTGAGGACACACGCACACACACATATGCATTCACTTAAGAGGGATTCTGGCAATGTGTCTGAATGTCATTCTGGTTACACACTAAATGGATTACATAATCACATAAGAGCCAAAATATATACTGATTCTATGTGGTGGATTATTGCCATTGCTAAATTAAGGATCTAATCAGCTGCAATGTAGTAAAATAATTAAGATCTAATAGCAGCATAATGTACTCCACAATAACTTACAAAGTACGCCAACTATAACTTTCATTTTCACTGTAAATTTCATGACAATATTTTTAATTGTATACAGTCATGGTACAGATCAGAATCTAGTTATCTTTAGTATAAATTTGATATTAAATAAAAATTAAAATAAATTATGAAAATTAAAATAAATTAATTTTATTTTAAAATAAATTTAAAAATTATTTTTAAAGAAAATGACCTTTATAAATGATAATGCCATATTTTAAATAACCAAATGACTGAAATCAGTGTTCTCTATAAAAAAAATTTTTTGGTAATTTTATATATATATATATATATATATATAACTAATACAAATAACAAAAACAATAAAATTACTAAAAACTTAAACTAAAATTAAAATGAAAACTGACAATGTACACAATAAAAGCGGTTTCAAAACATAAAAAAAAATATATATACTAGTATAAAAATAATACCAAAATAACACTGACTGAAATACTTTACAAATGAAAGGATACTTCATCTCTATTGATTATTAATTATGTATTTATTAATTTATTTTAATAATTTTGAACCTGGAAGGACAGAAACCAAAAATTAAGATTATTAATAACTAATTAAATGTGGGATCCGTGTGAAAACAACCTCACAATATGTTACACCAACGTTAAAAAACAAAAGAAAACTCAAATTATGAAATGAATAGTTCTGACCAATATACGCAGACCTGTGACATCAGATGAATTTTACATCAACCTTGTGTCATATATATATTTAAATTAGGGATGCTCCGATCTGCCTTTTTCACCTCCGATACCGATTCCGATACCTAGGGTTCGGTATTGGCCGATACCGATACCGATCCAATACCAGTGAAGTTTTTTTCCCTCATTTAAATAAATGTAGAATTTATATATCTCTGTGTGTGGAACTGATAATCATTCTTTCACAATCTACTAGATACAGACTACTACTATATAAAAAATATATTTTATACAGTCTATGAGCACGAAGTGCTTACAATGTGCGCATCCTGTGTGCAGAATGACGCGCTTGAAGCAACATGGAGCCACAGCCTGACGCCGTGTTGCTTCAAGCGCATCACTCTGCACACCAGATGAGCACTGCAAAACTGCAAAGCACAAAGGGAAGATAAATTGATGCATAGTGTATTATATCTGTGCAACAGTTATTGAGCCTTTCTTTTAACAGTTTTCAATTTCAGTTACTGTGCACGTTAAAAACTATTTATAGTCTTTTCTACGCCCGTGTTTTGTTCTCACAGACACCCGGTAGCAAGTAACAAAACATTAAACTCCGGCAATAAGATAAAGTCCTTTTTGCAAAATCATAGACATGTATTTACAAATCAAGTATAATGGGAACACAGAATGATCTTGGAGAGAGCTTTACCGAGCTGACTGCTGTAACCGAACGCGACCAGGGTTTAAACTTTAAAGGCTGAACGAATGACTGACAGCCACAGCGGAGAAAAGAGTTTGTGTGAACTTTAATGTAAGGACTTAAATATTAATATGTAGCTCACATTAAGCTATCGTATGGCTTCAGAAGTAACACAGAATAATTCGCACAATCGGGGAAAAAGAATTATAAATCTCGGATTTGGATCGGCCCTCTCTGACCAATACCCGATCCGAGAAAAATGGCACTATCGGAGCCGATACCCGATATGAATATCGGATCGGCGCATCCCTAATTTAAATTCCCTTCTGGTGTCTTTGTGCAGACTGAATAACCTTAAAAAAGAGAGAGACAGACACTACAGTAACGCACCCAGAGAGCGTCTCGCAGACGGTGGTCAGCAAACACACTACAGTGCTCTTCACAGACTAGATCACACGTTTCATCAGGTCTAAAAACTCACGCTGACACTCCAGCCAAAACAGCGCATATTTATGATGGCACGTTCGCGGACGGAGTGCCCCAGAGCTCCGTCTGTGGCCCATTTTCAGGCTAAAAGGACTGTCAGGATAGTTCAGCGTTAGGCTTTACCAGCAGGACACAACATATAAACAGAGCACAGGCCAGCTGGAACCGCCATCTACACATGGCTTTCAGATTACCACTGTCGGTTTGGCAAACTCGTGGTGTGCGGGAACAACAGAGCTGGATTCCCCAATGCACCCTGGCACTGGGAGCACTTTTCCAGCATTTACATGTGCTTTCTGTAAGATCTGGGCCTTTAAAATAAATCATCAATCTAAAATCAACTGAAGTATGGAGTATGAGATTTAATTGGCAAATTTTGACAAAATTGACCAAAAAAAAAAGAAACTATTGCATCCAAATATTTATAAAAGTTATTATTATCAGACATTATCAGAAGTTGTAAATAAAGATTATGAGAGCATGTTTTACAAGAAAATACTATTTCAGTCTTTCTACTTAAAAAAAATCAAGTTTCATGTACTGTTACTTGCCATTTCTTTGTAATTCATTTTAAATTTTGCTTGCAATTTCTGAGTGAAAATTGTGCATGAAACTGAAATGAACATGCATTTTGCAACTGACTATTCAGCCCTTCAAATATCCAGAGGACAAGTTATAATGGATGACAAGCTGTTTGCAATCGGCTTGTTAATCTGAGACTGAAACAACAGCAAATCTCCCATTAGAATAATTAAAGCGCTTTGAGTTTAATGAGACAATCACTACGGTGTAGATCTGCATCTCAAATTAACTTAACTATATGATATGTTAACATGCTGTACAGCTAAAAACTGTAACTTCAACCTGAATTATAAAACATAGATCTGGTTGAATTCAATAGAGTCTGAATGCAAAAGCATTCCAATTAAAATTGATGATTTTAAAGCACTGCACTGTATTTATTAGCACAATAAAATGAACATGAATGAATTCACATATATTTTAAATCAGAAACACCGCAAAAACATCTGCGACTGAGACATAGCGACTACATGCAAAAAAAAAAAAAAAAAAAAAACCTAGACGTTAACAACCTTCACTTTCTTTCCTCTGAAATGACTTTTTAATCCATTTATAAAAAACGAAAGCATGTATTTCATTTCTGAGTGATCAGCAATGGTTCGGCTCAGCATCACAAATGATTTGCATGCAAATTGTCAATTAGAAGTTGCCATTCCTGCCTTGTTATTTTATATTTAGGTCTGAACGCTAATGCATTTGATTTATATTTACATATTCATTAAGCAGATGCCCTTATCCAAAGTGACTGCCAAATAACGACAGCTAATACGAAAAATAAAAAAGTTTTTCCTTCTGTAAAATAAATTTGTATTACACTTTAAATCAAAACCATAGTTTTTTCCCCCATTCGTTCTTCCACTTCTCTTTAACCACAAAGATTTCTCTTTTTAATCTGCGCCTGTCTGTACGAAGCTCAGGAGGAATAAAATCCCTGCTGCTGGAATCTGAACATATAATAGATATTACAAATCTTCCTCTGCTGATTCATCACATTACATTAAGACAAGTTTTCTGATAAATATGCAAATGAAGTATTATCTAGTTAAACATGCACAAATTTGCATACATTTGGACAAAGCCAGATTCAAAATTATTGTTTTATTTTGTTGGCATATTAAAGGTTTTAACAAAGAGCATTTTGGATAACTCTTGATAAAAAAAACAAATTTTCACTATGTTTTTAGGAATAAAATGTTGTATAAAACCAGGTGATTGATAGATATGAATATAAAACTGTAAATTTTGGTGTATGTAAGTGCTACTGAAGTGATTTAAACATTAAAGATACAGTGGGTACGGAAAGTATTCAGACCCCCTTAAAT